TGATGATGATGATGATGATGATGACCATTTGCTTGCCCTGTTCAGAGCCTTGACCTCCTCCCTGCTGCACTCGATGGCCGTCGACATGCTGCCCGGCTACACAGACCCGTACTCGGACCGAGTGCTGACCAGAGGGGAGGTGGGCTGCTTCCTCAGCCACTACAACATCTGGAAGCAGGTGCAGATTCATCAGTCTATCACAGGCAGCGAGCGGTGAGGTGGACAGGTATTACTGAATGAGTGTCGCCCTCTAGGTGCTGCAGCAGGAACTGCAGCAGGTGCTGGTGCTGGAGGACGATGTGAGATTCGAGCCCAGATTTCACAGCCGGCTGGTGGCCGTCATGGAGAACGTGCACAAAGTGGGGCTTGACTGGGATCTCATGTGAGTTACGCTGATTAAATCCTCTGTGTGACCACTTTAAGCCCCAGCAGTGACAGGTCCCATCTCGCTGTAGCTACGTGGGCCGTAAGCGGCTGCAGGCGAAGGGGCCGGAGTCCTGGGTGAAGGGAGTCCCTGACCTGGTGCACCCTGGATACTCCTACTGGACTCTGGGCTACGTCCTTTCGCTGAGCGGCGCCCAGAAGCTGCTGCAGGCCGAACCTCTGAACAAGATGCTGCCTGTCGATGAGTTCCTGCCCGTCATGTTCAACAAACACCCCAAGTGAGTCGCTGAAACTACCTCAGATGTTTACTCTAAAGCCTCCTGCCTACAGTAAACCTGCCGACCTCTCTGACCCCACAGAGTCGAGTACATGCAGCACTTTGAGCACAGAGACCTGAGAGCGTTCTCAGTGGAGCCTCTGCTGCTCTTCCCCACCCACTACACCGGCGAGCCCGGCTACTTCAGTGACACCGAGACGTCGACCATCTGGGACGACGAGGCCACGGAGACGGACTGGGACAGAAGAGAGGCCGGACACGGCCGTGGGCAGCGGTCTGAGGGGGCGGGGCTTCAGCCTGGGGCTCAGTGACGAGCCATGAGGAGGATCTGCCATGTCATACCCGAGCTCCTCTTAAACTCTGTGACTCTCTCTGTGCAGTTAGACGGACCGATGTCTAATCCTAGCTTCAGACATAAACACACAGCAGCGAACCCACAGTCACGTCAGGAGGTCCCGGAAGCCCAGGTAGCAATCAGGCCTCCGCATGTCGAGGCTGGAAAATAACGGTGCCTGTGTGAGGTTGTCTCAGGATTAACGATGGTTCAGCTCGAGGCTGCGTTTAGGTAATAAAGGTCCACAAGTGCACCCGTTTCAATGTTTTTTTTCACGAGAACATCACGTTAACAGGATGTTTTTCACATTATGCATCATAATATTTTGCATTATTAGAACATTTTATCACTAACATCACGGTGCTGTGAGCTTCTTGTTGATTTGACAGATACATGAAGGAGAAAACATGGAAGCAGCCGTTACACATCGCAGGTATCACACAGTTCATAGAGGATTTGCAACGCTGGTCCCCAGCAGAAGTTAAAAACGAAAGGGATAGAAGTAGACTGAGTGTATCGGCATAAAAAGATAAACATTGCATGTAAAAGTTAGACATGAATACAGATTTAGAACCAGGATTTGGTCACTCTGTTGAGTTTATCACACATTTCAAACTTTCCCTCTGAGCTTTTCAAGAAAAACAAGTGTTACTGATTGGAACTTTACGGTAGCTGCTCTGCTGGATCTGAACAATTAAATACAACTTTTAAAAATATTAATTTAAAAAATGTCTACATAAAAAATTGTTTTTTACTTTGTCATTTTTAACTGTAGGTTTAATGGATATTATCAGTAATTTAACAAAACTGGAAGAAAAATCTGTAAAATAACTGCTTAAAACATGATTTAGTATTTTTTCATTTTTAATAAGGAGAGTTTTTCTTGGAAAAATGGCAAATATCTAGAAAATAATATATTTGCAGATTTAAATACACTTTAAAACTGTGTTATTGTTCAATCAAATACTGCTGACATTATTTTTAGATTTTTTTTTTTTAATTGTAGTTTTACTAGGTGTTATCAGTAATTTGACAAAACAGACATAAAATGTAAAATAACAGCAAATTGTTTAAAAAAATAAATAAAAAAAAATGACAGTATACATAATACAATGGTCAAACTACAAACGTCTGTAAAAAGCGGCTGTTAAAATTAGAGGCTTTTAAAAAAAATATATACATAATTCCAGGAAACCTTTTGTGCTGCAGCAACCTGCAGATCCAGAGAGTGGAGCTACCGTTTGAAAAGCAGAGAGACAAGATGGAGGCTC